TAAAGGCTATTGGGAGCTTGATGTATGCAATAACAAGCACCAGACCTGATATTGCATATGCAGTGAGAAGATTGAGTAGATAAACTAGTAATTCTAGTACTCAACATTGGCATGTGATTCCAAGAGTGTTTAAGTATCTCAAAGGAATTGATGATTATGGTTTATGTTACTTGGGATATTCTTCGGTCCTAGAAGGGTATTCAAATGAAATTTGGATTTCATACTTAGAGGATCATTCAAAAACAAGTGTTTGTGTATTCTTACTTGGGGGAGGAGCCATCTCTTGGATTTCCAATAAGCAAACTTGAATTATGATCTCTATAATGGAATCTGAATTTGTTGTGTTAGGTGTTGCTGGTAAAGAAGAAGAGTGTTGAGAATTTTTTATTCATGAAATTCCATTATGGCTAAAACCGATTGCAAATATTTCTATCCATTGTGATAGTGCTGCTACCTTGGATAATCCATATAACCAAGTGTATAATGGCAAGTCTAGACACTTGGATGTTAGACATAATATGATTAGAGAATTAATCATGAATGATGTAGTTTCGGTTTTATTTGTGAGAGTGCAATAGAACTTAATAGATCATTTGACTAAAAGTCTAGCAAGAGACTTATTGCACAAGTTTGTTATTGGGAGGAGTTTAAGGTCCATTTAATTCTATAATGATGAGACATTCAATTCCCTTCTAATACAATGTGGAAAGCTCACACTTATAGATTGGAACTCATAATGAATCATCTCAGATATGTGTTCGGTACTACAGTAAGTAAGGCAAAAGTTTAACTTCTTAATAATTCCTTTGAAAATGTGTTTTATAAGTACATGATATAAAGGAATTACCTATTTGATTGTGAAGTGTAGCTACGCTTCAAAACATTGTGGACATGGCCTTTATACATTCATGAGAGGATTAGGACACACAACTTAATAATAGTATCAGGTTATTTAAACTAGCTAAGAATTGTAAGCTTGTATGTATTTTATAAAGTATTCAAATGGGTTGGCGGGTTTAATCCTTAGGACACCTCGATTCTTGAATATTTGAAACGTGCAAACTAATAATATGAAAATTCAATCGATTCGACATTTTCATTTATATGCAAGTTTTGGTTTGTTAAATTGTTTTTGTGTAAGTCCATGGTTATACTAAAATGGGATGGGGGGGGGGGGGGGGATCAGAGTAAATTATGCAAGTAAAAATTTCGTTATATACTCCCTAACAGACAATGAAATCACACCGGAAGCATTAAAAGCAATTGAAACTTTCGAACAACCATTCGAAAAATTTTCTCATCATCTAGCTGAATTACCCGCTGATCTAAAGAAACAACTTTGTAAACACATCATGCATGCACCACGTCATAAATGCAGTCACTGTAAAGAAAATATAGAAGAAACACCATTCATGGAAGACTAACACAAGAATAAAAAAATATCTGCTTTTTCGGAGGCGGGAGGAATGACGTAAGCAATGACATAAAAAGCCATTATTGAAGACATTTGAATTATTTGTTATTTGTCGCTATATAATTATTGTGTGTATTTATAAGAAGAATATGGAATAATGTAGTGTCGGTAGGATGTAACATAAAGTATATAACCCTCCATAGTCTAGGGGGCTATATTGTAAATTATGTGTGTCGTTTTGCAATCAAACGATTGCAACCTAATTATGTAATCGGCTCTCTTGAGCCTATAAATAGGGTCTTCGCCCATATGAAATAAACAAGTTAAGTTTGAGTGTTAAAGACTTGAGTTGATCTCAAAGTTCTTCCTCTGTTGAAATAGTTTGTCTATTTCTGAATAGCAGAGTTCTATCCAAACATATCCAAGATAATTACCCAACATAAATCATACAATCCATCGTTAATCCATCTCAACGCATCATTCAGGTATAATCTTATCATAATATTCATCTTTCCGTAATGCTGTTAAATTTGGTATTAGAGCTAAGTAACGTTCATATTATTACTTTGCATATTAAATCTTTTGTTCATATGAATATATGCATAAGAAATATCATAAACATAATAATGAATATTCATCTTTTAAAAATATGATTCATATGCAAAATTCATCACCATTATTTAATCCACTTGAAACAATTGTCATAAGAAAGTCTAGTGCAATATACCAAAAAGTCAAATTCATAATGCATCTTTCACAAAAAGGTTTTCAACTCTCCATATTACAAATTTCATATAATCACCCCACTATATTAAAAACTTTATACATAACTTTGAAGAGCATTATCATTTTTTTTTTAAGATTTAATTATGAGTTTTGAAAGTTTACATAATAATAAACAAGAATTAAATTTTTTTCATAAAACACTAAAACAATCTAAAAAAATTCTTTTACATTTAAAAATAGACTCTAACATATCAATAATTAATTGTATATCTAATATTGAAGCAATACATATAATAGATAGTAGTATAAACTGGAAACAAAAACAAATAAAAAATCTTGAAGAAAAAATAACGAGATTAATATGTTAAATATGTCCCAAGAAATAGAAAATACACCAATCATTATTAATAACGAAGAAAATGAATCTGGATACACTTTTGATGCTCTAATTAATAAAAATAATATTAATAAAGATGGTATAAGAAAATCAAATTTTACACTATCTGAAAAACATAATTTTATATGTAACTCATTAAAAAATTTCTTTTCTAGAAAAAATATTATATATTATGGAAAATTTATAGTAGAAGAACCAATACCTATGGAATCAACTCAAGAAAATATTATTATACATATATTAAATAAACAATAAATTAGAAACAGACTATCTAATATTAAAGAAATAGATAGAACAAAAATCATTTATATTCATATATCAACTATTCAAATAATTCTAAAAAGTACTTATAGAGATTTAGACACACCAATAGAATTAGAAATTAGAGATGATCGTATAATTAATAATCAATAAAATATTATTGCAAAAGGAAAAGGAAATTTAATTGAAGGAAAAATAAAATTTGATATTAATATACAATTAGGATTAAGTCTAAAAGATAAAAATTTAAGTAATAGTATTACCGTACGATATAAATTATTAAGACAAAATTTTATGTTAAAAGGGAATCATCAATTTACTATTACATATCAAATAAATTATGTATTAACAAATTTTCATCATAGTATTACGTTTAAAACAGAAGATAGAATTTATATAGATAAATTATTTACCCATTTATTATCACTTGAATCACCAAATATGACTAATAATAGAATTTTTAATGAAACTAATTTTCAACCGATAATAACTACTCCGCTAATAAAAAGAAACTAAAAATTTATTTTCTAAAAACTAGTACTAATAAAAATTATTAATATGGAAACTTTACAAGAAAAAGTAGATACATTAACTAAATTATTCGCAGCACTAGAAATTCCATCCGAAATTCAAGAAAATAGCACAGAAATAGAAAATAATAACGATGCAGAAGTAATATATGATTTTTAATCCGATGGTGAAAATCCTTATTCAAATCCATATAAAGAATCGCAAAATAATTTTGGATTAAAACGAAAACAATCATATGTTGAAGATGATTATCAAAGTCAATATATTTATGGACCACCTTCGTTAGAAGAAAACTTTTTATATAGACAAGGAATGGTCCAAAATAAACAAAACAAATGGGAAAAAATACCTCCACAATACATACCTAAACTATTTACTTTTCCAACAAATTCAGATATTCTTTTTATTGATTGTGAGCAAAATCTCGAAGCAAAATTCAAGAATGGAGTAATAAAATAGGAATTCAAATTCAACTAACTGAAGAATTAAGAAATCTACATCCAAAAAAAATTTCTTAATTATATTATACATAAAACACAGGGCAATGCATATCGTTTTCTTTCATCTCTCGATGAAACAAAGACGATGATGATAGCAACCAATGACGTTATGGAAATATTTAAAAATGTATTAAATCGGCTTATTCAAGAATTCATAGGAAAACAAATAGAAGATAAAACATCTCAAGAAGCTTTTCAATTAGAATCATTATGACATCTAACTAACTTACGAATTTGTAACATGTGTTATTTAGACCCATTTATATGCGAATATTCTGAACATTATTAAAATCTAGATTTTATTAGAAAAAAGATAGCATTAGACATGTTTTACCAAAAATTACCATCATTAGTAAGTCAAAGTGTAATAAAAGATTTCCAAGAAGCATTACAACAAAATATAATTGCAGATACCTTAGGAGCAAGGATAAATATATTAAAAGCATGGATGCAGAAAAAATGTTTAGAACAAAAAACAATACAAGATGCAAGAATTGATTTATGCTGTGATACATTATCTAATAAAGTTAATCAATATGGTTGTAAAAATAATAAAAAACAAAAATATAAAAAGAAAATTTGGAAAAAACAAACTTATAAACCTAAATATAAACAACATTATAAACAAGGTGAAAGAAAATATTTTCGAGACAGAAAACAATATAAGAAAAAATGTCAATCTAACACAAATTACTGTCCATCTAATAAAAAAGATTGTAAATGTTGGATATGTCAAGAAGACGGACACAAAACCTATGAATGTCCAAAAAAGACTAAAAAAGAAAAAGAAACAAATTTATTAAAAATTGCATATGATCTCGGGTATGAACCTATAGAAGATTCAGGAATAGATTCAGATATAGATATTTATGCATATACAACTGGTACTGATTCTGATTCAGTCCTATGAAGAAAGCATTATTGGGTTTAGAACATGAGGGAAACCTCATATTTAACCTATCCAAAGTATACATTTCTAAAGCATATATTGGTATGAAAATACCATCCAAAGTAAACAATGATAAAGTATACAGTGATATGAAAATATCACCAAAGCATACATTGATATGAAAATTCTCATATCATCATTTAAAATATTATTAGCAAATAAATATCAGCAATCATTCAGGTATCCAAAAGGCGCAAATATTCATTCAGCAGAAATATTGAAATGGAAGCAATCATGAAGCAAGTCAAACACCAATTTAGACAAAAAGATGAGCAAGAAGCATCGTTAATCAGACAGCTTGAAGTAGTCAAACGTGAAAAAGAACAACTACAACAAACAATACAAATTCTATCATCTTATTCAGCACCTAAAGAAGAAGCAGCCATCAGCTTAACAATGAAGCAACCAAAAGAAGAAATTCAAGAAATATCATCCGATGAAAGTCAACCACAAATAGAACTCGAAATAGAAAAACAAACCATGACGCCAAACCAGGAGGAGTATCCACCACTACAAGCAGATCATAAAAATATAAAGAAATGGTATGTGATATTCAACGGAGAAAAAAAAGGAGTCTACGAAGATTGGGGAATCGCCAATTCGTATATTCTTGGAAAAAATTTCATTCATAAAAGCTACAAAACAAAAAACGAAGCAGAAGCCGCATACAATGAAGCATACAAAGCCGTAATAAGAGATAATGTCGAATGTTCGAAAACAGTCCTTCTTACACCACAAAAACATGTATCCATCCCAAAATCTCTTAATCAACTCCATGCTAAAATCGCCCTCGAAGCCATTCCGTCAACCAAAGAAAACGAAGCTATGAAAAAACCAACTACCCAAAATTTTGCTAAACTATGGGGAAGCCTCGTTTCATACAACGATGTCCATTCTTTAATGGGTTTCTACCCAGTAGCCAAGCGCCCAGGCCCCAAATCAGTTTTCAAGTTGTCTGATTCACGATGCTTCTTGCTCCTCTTTTTGTTTGAATTGGTGTTTGACTTGCTTCATGAGTGCTTCCATTTCAATATTTCTACTGAATGAATATTTGCACCTTTTGGGTACCTGAATGATTGCTGATTTTTGTTTGCTTTTAATATTTTAAATGATGATATGATAATTTTCATATCAATGTATGCTTTGGTGATATTTTCATATCAATATATATTTTATCATTGTTTACTTTGGATGGTATTTTCATACCAATATATGATTTAGAAATGTATACTTTGGATAGGTTAGATATGAGGTTTCCCTCATGTTCTAAACCCAATAATGCTTTCTTTATAGGACTGAATTAGAATCAGTATCAGTTGTATATGCATAAATATCTATATCTGAATCTATTCCTGAATCTTCTATAGGTTCATACCCGAGATCATATGCAATTTTTAATAAATTTGTTTCTTTTTCTTTTTTAGTCCTTTTTGGACATTCGTAGGCTTTGTATCCGTCTTCTTGACATATCCAACATTTACAATCTTTTTTATTAGATGGACAGTAATTTGTGTTAGATTGATATTTTTTCTTATATTGTTTTCTGTCTCGAAAATATTTTCTTTCACCTTGTTTATAATATTGTTTATATTTAGGTTTATAAGTTTGTTTTTTCCAAATTTTCTTTCTATATTTTTGTTTTTTATTATTTTTACAACCATATTGATTAACTTTATTAGATAATGTATCACAACATAAATCAATTCTTGCATCTTGTGTTGTTTTTTGTTCTAAACATTTTTTCTGCATCCATGCTTTTAATATATTTATCCTTACTCCTAAGGTATCTGCAATTTTATTTTGTTGTAATGCTTTTTGGAAATCTTTTATTACACTTTGAGTTACTAATGATGGTAATTTTTGGTAAAACATGTCTAATGCTATCTTTTTTTCTAGTAAAATCTAGATTATAATAATGTTCAGAATATTCGCATATAAATAGGTCTAAATAACACATGTTACAAATTCGTAAGTTAGTTAGATGTCATAATGATTCTAATTGAAAAGCTTCTTCTATTTGTTTTCCTATGAATTCTTGAATAAGTCGATTTAATACATTTTTAAATATTTCCATAACGTCAGTGGTTGCTATCATCATCGTCTCTGTTTCATCGAGAGATGAAAGGAAACGATATGCATTGCCCTGTGTTTTATGTATAATATAATTATGAAAAAAAATTTGGATGTAGATTTCTTAATTCTTTAGTTAGTTGAATTTGAATTCCTATTTTATTACTCCATTCTTGAATTTTTGCTTCGGGATTTTGCTCACAATCAATAAAAAGAATATCTGAATTTGTTGGAAAAGTAAATAGTTTAGGTATGTATTGTGGAGGTATTTCTTCCCATTTGTTTTGTTTATTTTTGATCATTCCTTGTCTATATAAAAAGTTTTCTTCTAACGAAGGTGGTCCATAAATATATTGACTTTGATAATCATCTTCAACATATGATTGTTTTCGTTTTAATCCAAAATTATTTTGCGATTCTTTATATGGATTTGAATAAGGATTTTCACCATCGGATGAAAAATCATATATTACTTCTGCATCGTTATTATTTTCTATATCTGTGTTATTTTCTTGAATTTCGGATGAAATTTCTAGTGCTGCGAATAATTTAGTTAATGTATCTACTTTTTCTTGTAAAGTTTCCATATTAATAATTTTTATTAGTACTAGTTTTTAGAAAATAAAATTTTAGTTTCTTTTTATTAGCGGAGTAGTTATTATCGGTTGAAAATTAGTTTCATTAAAAATTCTATTATTAGTCATATTTGGTGATTCAAGTGATAATAAATGGGTAAATAATTTATCTATATAAATTGTATCTTCTGTTTTAAACGTAAAACTATGATGAAAATTTGTTAATGCATAATTTATTTGATATGTAATAGTAAATGGATGATTCCCTTTTAACATAAAATTTTGTCTTAATAATTTATATCGTACGGTAATACTATTACTTAAATTTTTATCTTTTAGACTTAATCCTAGTTGTATATTAATATCAAATTTTATTTTTCCTTCAATTAAATTTCCTTTTCCTTTTGCAATAATACTTTCTTGATTATTAATTATACGATCATCTCTAATTTCTAATTCTATTGGTGTGTTTAAATCGCTAAAAGTACTTTTTAGAATTATTTGAATAGTTAATATATGAATATAATCAATTTTTGTTCTATTTATTTCTTTAATATTAGATAGTTTGTTTCTAATTTGTTGTTTATTTAATATAGGTATAATAATATTTCCTTGAGTTGATTCCATAGGTATTGGTTCTTCTCCTATAATTTTTCCATAATATATAATATTTTTTCTAGAAAAGAAATTTTTTAATGAGTTATATCTAAAATTATGTTTTTCAGATAGTGTAAAATTTGATTTTCTTATACCATCTTTATTAATATTATTTTTATTAATTAGAGCATCAAAAGTGTATCCAGATTTATTTTCTTCGTTATTAATAATGATTGGTGTATTTTCTATTTCTTGGTACATATTTAACAGATTAATCTCGTTATTTTTTCTTCAAGATTTTTTATTTGTTTTTATTTCCAATTTATACTATTATCTATTATATGTATTGCTTCAATATTAGATATACAATTAATTACTGATATGTTAGAGTCTATTTTTAAATCTAAAAGAAATTTTTTAGATTGTTTTAGTGTTTTATGAAAAAAAAATTAATTCTTGTTTATTATTATGTAAACTTTCAAAACTCATAATTAAATCTTAAAAAAATAATAATGTTCTTCAAAGTTATGTATAAAGTTTTTAATATAGTGGGGTGATTATATGAAATTTGTAATATGGAGAGTTGAAAACCTTTTTGTGAAAGATGCATTATGAATTTGACTTTTTGGTATATTGCACTAGACCTTCTTATGACAATTGTTTCAAGTGGATTAAATAATGGTGATGAATTTTGCATATGAATCATATTTTTAAAAGATGAATATTCATTATTATGTTTATGATATTTCTTATGCATATATTCATATGAACAAAAGATTTAATATGCAAAGTAATAATATGAACGTTACTTAGCTCTGATACCAAATTTAACAGCATTACGGAAAGATGAATATTATGATAAGATTATACCTGAATGATGCGTTGAGATGGATTAACGATGGATTGTATGATTTATGTTGGGTAATTATCTTGGATATGTTTGGATAGAACTCTGCTATTCAGAAATAGATAAACTATTTCAACAGAGGAAGAACGTTGAGATCAACTCAAGTCTTAAACACTTAAACTTAACTTGTTTATTTCATATGGGCGAAGGCCCTATTTATAGGCTCAAGAGAGCCAATTACATAATTGGGTTGCAATCGTTTGATTGCAAAACGACACACATAATTTACAATATAGCCCCCTAGACTATGGAAGGTTATATACTTCATGTTACATCCTACCGACACTACATTATTCCATACCATTTCAATGTGGAAGCGATTATAATTTTAATGTAAATATTGTGTCGGAAGAATTATTTGTATTTGTCGTTATTATTCGTCTGTAGAATGTGACGTAAATATTGTGTCGGTAGAATTAAAATAAAGTGTATAACCCTCAATAGTCTAGGGGGTTATATTGTAAATATGTATGTCATTTTGCAATCAAACGATTGCAACTCAATTATGTAACCGTCTCCCTTGAGCCTATAAATAGGGCCTTTGCCCGTATGAAATAAACAAGCGAAGTTTGAATGTCTAAGACTTGAGTTGAATCTCAAAGTTCTTCCTCTGTTGAAATAGTTATTTTATTTCTGAATAACAGAGTCCTATTCAAACATACCCAAGATTATCCATATAATCATTCTTATAATTTAAACAACCCATCCCGACGCATCATTCAGGTATAATCTTATCCTAACTTTCTCTATTAATTATGTTATGTTTTTAAAATTGGTATTAGAGCTAAGTTTCGTTCTTATCATTATGAATATTCATACATTCGTTCATAAGAAAAAAAATATTCATTGTGCATCGTTATAAATGCTATTACATTCATGCATATCATTTATCATAATTATCATAAAAATTATAATAGTCATAATAAACTCTACTATCATTATCCTTTTTAAAACTATAAATTTTCATCGTAACTTTAATCTAAAACATAGTTAAATTATTGTTTTTATAGAATTATAATCATGAGTTTTTGAAGTTTAAATATTAATAAACAAGAACTAAATTTTTTTCGTAAAACACTGAAACAGTCTAAGAAATTTCTTTTAGAATTAAAAACAGACTCTAAGATATTAATAATCAATTGCATATCTAATATTGAAGCAACACATATAATAGATAATAGTATAAATTGGAAACAAGAACAAATAAAAAATCTTGAAGATAAGATAACGAGATTAATTTGTTAAATATGTCTCAAAAAATAGAAAGATCACTAATAGTAACTACTTCGTTAGTAAAAAGAAACTAAAGATTTCATTTACAAAATAAACACAACTTATTAATATGGAAACTTTACAAGAAAAAAGTAGAAACATTAACTAAATTATTTGCAGCATTAGAAATTCTATCTGAAATTCGTGAAAATAATACAGAAATAGAAAATAACTCAGATAATAATGACGCAGAAGTAATATATGATTTTTCATCCGATGATGAAAATCTTTATTCAAATCCATATAGAAATTCACAAAATAATTTTGGATTAAAACGAAAACAATCATATGTTAAAGATGATTATCAAAGTTAATATATTTATGGACCACCTTCATTAGAAGAAAATTTTCTATATAGACAAGGAATGGTTAAAAATAAACAAAACAAATGAGAAAAAATACCTCCACAATACATACCCAAAATTATTTACTTTTCCAACAAATTCAGATATTCTTTTTATTGACTTTGATCAAAATCTCGAAGCAAAAATTCAAGAATGGAGTAATAAATGGGAGTACAAATTCAGTTAACTAAAGAATTAAGAAATTTACACCCAACACATTTTCTTAATTATATTATTCATAAAACACAAGATAATGCATATCGTTTTCTCTCATCTCTTGAT